TCATCTATAGCACCCAAGCCTTGGAGCTAAACCAAAATTTTAACCAATGAATAAACAATGGTCATAGGCCCACAATCCAGTGGTGCTCACTGGTAACCAAGAAGGAAGTTCTGAATCGAGCAACAGCAGCGACAGAATTCAAAACAAGACAGTGAGCAGAAACTGCAGGACCGACACACGGACACCGTACTCTCTAACTGCAGTCTGCAAAGATCCAGGATGAGGGGGCACCCATCAGGGGTGACAGATCAGAACAGGGGTCCCCTCTGTGCAATTATGGGGAGGTGATAGTGGGAGGGACCCCAGCGAACCTACAGGAATGAAAGGAAGCCTACGCTCGCAAATGACAGCTGCACATGTCATTGGCAAAAGTGAGCGGGCTGGATGAACACTTAGTCTGTGTGAGCTACAGTGTCTGAATTGCACCTCAATAAAAACAGACATAAAATGCAGGCAGGGTGGGGGCACAGTTGCATTAGGGGCTTCGTGAAATGTGACAAAGGGAGAAAAGTCACTGGCTTTGGACAGAGCTACAGCAAGCCTCAGGGGTCCGGCCAGAAGGTGCAGCTGCCTGGGGGCACCTCCTCCCCGTCCCACTGCTGCCCCTTTTCCCCACCTAGGAGTGCAGCGCTGCTGGCTTTCCTGTCACTTTCTCAAGGGTCCTCTAGAGACTCTTTCTGTGCACCAGAACCTGGCCACACCTGGCCCAGCTGTCTCAGGAGAGAGACTAACAAGAAACTTGAATTGTCAGAACCCAAAGACTCCACTTGCAGTAGGACGGATGCTTTCTCCCCAGGGAGCCATGCGAATGGGGCCTTGAGCCAGGAGAGAAAGTAGCCAGCCACTGAAGGGTGGAGAAAAGTGAGCAGGTCTCTAAATCAAACCTGTATCAGATTCATCAAAGACCCCTGGAAGGTCTCCCTGCTAAGGCCTGACAAACCAAATCAGACTTACTGGTGTGGCACCTGGACATTTTCGTTTGTTTGTTTTTTTTAATAAATCACAGGTGACTCTAAGGTATAGCTAAGGTGAAAAAGCCATGTTCTGGGTAGAGGTGACAGCAAGAGCCAAAGCCAGGAGTCATCAGGGAAAGCCCCCAGTGTGTGCAGAACCTGAGGGAGACAGGAAGGAAGTCGGGAAGTCAGCCCTGAAGGGCAGGGGCCAAGCAGCAGACATCTGCCACATCTATCTGTCACTTCACTATGCGCCTTGTTTAGAAATGAGGGCTTCACAGATGTCATTAAAGTAAAGACAGGAGAGACTGTCCTGAATTAAGATAGGGGCTAGATCCAATGGGAGCAACCGTAACAACAGCTGAAAAAGACCCACAGAGACCCAGAGGAGAGGGGAGAGGGCAAGGGGCCACACAAACATGGAGACAGAGACCAGAAGGATACAGCCACAGCCAAGAGCACTTCGAGCACCAGCACCCCCAGAACTGCAGAGACCCCACAGTCTCAGCCTCTCAGTGCCTCCAGGAAGCCAGCCCTGCACCCTTGGCTTCAGGCTCTGCCTCTCAGGGAGACAGAACCTTGATGTCTTAAGCCACCAATGGGAAAGTCTAGGAGACTGACATGGGGTGGGACTTAGTCACAGCAGGGAGAAGCGACCACTGAGGAGCGGCAGAAGGGCTGGGCATGGGCCAGGGGCCAGTGGGAGGGCAAGGTGCTGTCTAGGCTCAGCAAATTCTCATTGCAAACAGGGGAGGGCCAGAGGGGAAGCCAAGCCCCTCTGGGCGGCACCGCGGTCCAAGTGGAAGCAGCAGACGGAAGCTCAGGTGCCAACCCGCACAGGGGAGGCTGGGCCTCTGGCAGCTGGCAGGCGGATGAAAAGAAGGAAGCTCACTTGGAGGCACTCACGCTGCTCTCCTGAGAATTTGTGGCTTCGTGCTAGATTCCAAGCACTCACCCATGGTTCCCAAGACAGTGTGTAAAAAAGAAGCTTCCAAATTAAGTCAGCCCTGCAAATAAGCGCCCGCCCACCCTGGGCTCTTCTTACCTGCTCCCCTCCCCGGTAGATATTCTCCAAGTCAATCAGAGAATAATCATTTTAGATACTCTGTGTTGGTCAGTGCTACTCACCAACTGTCCATAAATGACTGTTGAGTAGCTCCCTGCAGATGACACAGGAGGTCAATTAGGCAATAAATATTTATGGGACTATTGGGCATTGGTCTTGGAAAAACAGAGGAAGGAAATAATAATGAGATGAGATTCTGGGTGAGGGGCGCAGCCTCGGGTGGTAGAGGGTGGGCTGCGGGACAGGGTGCGTCACAGAACCCACAAGAAGACCTTCTGCAGAACTAGGAAGCTGGTGTCACCAGCTTTGCCACCTATTCGGTAAAAATGGATGAATCATTTTACCAAGAAAGCCTCAGTTTCTTTATCTGTCAGAACAAAGTAGGTGAATCAGCCAAATGTTTTGTGCAGGGAAAAAGGAAAGATTTTCAAGATTCACACAACTTTCTAACACCCTCCTCACAGGTGGCCCCTGCGGTTCAATGATGATCCTGAAAGTCTCAGACTAACGTCCGATAAGCTGCCTTCAAGAAGCCAGACAGGGGAGCGGGCGCCAAGAGAGAGAGAGGCCCCGCTCAGGCCTGCCGCCCTGCAGCTTGCTACAGACCACAGCTCGGCCTGGGGAGTGAGTCACTAGCTGTAAAGGGGAGGCCCTCTGCTCAAAATCCCCCAAATCACCAGGAGGAGCCTGCATTTCCTTCTGAAAACATCCTGAGGTGTTTGAACCCAGGATGGGGTGGGGCCGCCAACATGACCAGCATTTGGGGGGTAGGGGTGGGGTCTGCTGAGTACAGGAGGGGAATTCCAGGTTCCTCCACTGGTGTGGTTCTCAATATCGGTGTTCCTTCGTCACCTACTGCTGGTGACAAGTCTTCCTCCCAGCTCAGAACCAAAGCCTCCATCAACTCAGCTGATCAGCACCTTGACCTGAAAGGCTGGAAGGAATCTGGGGGACTCCTTCATTCTGTTTCCAAAGACCAATCAAGTCCAAACTCTGGCTCCTTACCCTCCCAAAGAAAGGGGCCGCCGCCTGTCCTCGCTGGCCCCTGCCTGGAGGGGCAGTCTCCAGCCACACTCTCTGCGTAGCACCACCACACTCTCCCTATTCTCACCCGTGACTCAAGATGGCCTCTGACTGACAGCACCCCGCTGTGGGTGTGTACAGAGGAGACTGCACCCAAGACCTTGTGCCTGTCATCCCTTATTCTTCCAATGAGCTATACTCCCAGGCCAGTTGCCATTTTTTAGAAATCCGAAAATTCTAGATTATCTTTTAAAATCAAGAGGCAGCCACACTGAGTACACACTCTCGTGTGAAAATACATACCCTCTTGGCTGAGCTAGGTGCGCAGAGCCCATCAAGGTGGGGAACTGCCCAACTAGTCTCCAATCCCCCATGCCTCCCAAGCGCCACCACCCACCCCATCCATCCCTTCCCTTCCCACCATCTCCCCAGCCTGTGACACCCACTTATGATAAAATATCCAGTAAACAGACAGGAAAAACCCCAGGATATAATTTAACATGGAACCTGATTATAACAACATAAAGCATTGGTAGGCCTAAAAAAACCAGATAAACAGCTTTTGCTTCTGAAACAATGTTTACATTTTTCTTCTTTATGCTTTTGCAAATAACTTCTAAAGTCATGATGCAACAACTCATTATTTCCCTTCTGAAAAGAACCAAAGAACAAGCTGGGACTGGTGGCACATGTCTGTAATCCCAGCACTCTGGAGGCTGAGCCAGGAGGACTGCCTTGAGTTCAAGGCCAGCCCGGGCCGACGTAGTGAGTTTAAAGTCACCCTGAACTACAAAGTGAAATCCTATCTCCAAAAGCAAACAAAAAAGAAAAATAAGCTCAAAGCTACGCGTGAAGCCTGGTAGAACCGGGCTGGGTGTTTTTGCTCAGTGCCCACTTTATAGCAGATTCTGAAAATCTTCTGTAACTTTATACCTACATGTGCAGTCCTTAGCCTCACTACCCTGTAAGCTTGCTAAGGACGGGGAAAATGATTTGCTCCTCCGCGCTGCCCAGTACCGAGCATAGCCCCTGATGCAAGAAAGACCCCAATGCACCTCCACTGGCGGGCGGAAGGGGTGGGTGGAGTGTGGCTCCTGCCTACACAAGCCCCAGTTCCCATTCCAGCCCTGCACCTTCTGACTGTGTACATGGCTGCTCTATAAAATGGGCATAGTGACTCCAGCCAGCCCGAGGATAGCTGTGAGTCCCCACAAGTGACCAGCAGAGTCCGTGCTCAACAAAGCAGAGCCACTGTGACCCAAGTGCTGTTTTTGCTGAAAGGAGAGAGGAGGGAAAAAAAAAAAAACCTTGGGAACACTACGTACAAAAAACTCACCTCAAATGCACCTGCCCTTTTACTTTTTGTTTTGTTTTGGTTTTTTGGCGGAACCAGGGATTGAACTCAGGCCCTTGTGCTTGCCACAGAAGCGCTTATTCCACTGAGCCATCTCCCCGGCCCCCATGCCCTTTTAAAGACTAGAACAATAGTTATCCATTTCAAATATTCTAAACAAAGCTGTAGGCTACTTACTGCAAACTGGCCATACTGTTTTCTAATTTCCCCTGAAGCCATAAAACCTTCCACAAGTAAATACAAGCAGAGATAAGACCCACATATGTGCCCTGCCTCTGGCCCTTTCATCATTTTGAATCCACTTCTCTGTTTGCTTTACCGTGTGAGGATGGAACCCAGGGTCTTGAGCAGGCTTGGTGAGCCCTCTGCCGCCAAGGTACATAGAATGTATGTTCTTTATTTTTCTTTGGGGGAGGGGCATGGAACCCACAGTGCATGCTGGGTAAGGGCTGTACCACTGAGCTACACCTCCAGCCCAACTAGCCATTTAGCCTCCCTTGGGCACCCTGTGTGTTTCACAAGCCACCTGCCAGGGACCCCGCCCAGAACAGAATCTTAGGTATAGGACAGTTTCCAAACAAGACTGCCCCAGAGCCCCACTTACAGCACTCGATGGGGTTGGATGCCGTCTGCAAGGAGACGATGCGGGTGCTGGACTCCGGGATGTGGACCCGGAACACCAGCCGCACCCGGGTGTTCTTCCTGCCGATGTCCGTCTCTCCTTTGCGCAGTTCGATGTCCGCGTTCCGGAGCTTCAGAATCCCTGCACAGTCAATGCTGCCAGGAGATGGAGAACCCCACTGGCACCTGAGCCGCCTGGGGAGCTGGAGCAATTGCCCACAAAGCTGCCCTGGCCCACCTCATGTAGCTCAGCCAGCAGTGCACACCCAGATGGCAACCAAGAACAGGAAAACCCAGCCATCAGAGAAGTTCCCTAGCTGAGACCCTCTCTCTAGGCTAGTTTTCATTCCAATGCCTCTACTCTCAAAAGGATCTGAAAAACTCAAATAGGTAACCAGTGGCAACCAGAGACAGTCCTGTCAGCAAGAATAGTGTACCAAGTTTCATCTCAAGTGTGCCAAGCCCTTGGTTGTGTAAGACAGCACACCTTGGGTCTTAGGACGTGCATGCAGAAGGGTTAGGGTCAAAGGGCACGATATCTGAAAGCAGCTGTCAAACGTCTCAGGAAGGAAAATACAAATAGTAAAGCAAATGTGAAAAAAGTAACAACTGGTAAATTGAAGTGAATGGTATTCAGGAATTCATACTTTCTTCAGCTTTTCTGGGACCTACAATTTATTTTCTCATAAAACTATTTTTTATTTTTTACCTCCAACAGAGGTGTGTGCAGGGTTTCCCAACCTTTAGCCCTGGGCAGGCACATCGGCTTTGTAACTCTGATTGCTGAATTTTTACTCAATCATTTCTTTAGGCAACACCAATTGTTTTCAATGTACATAAATTTAACCTCATAAAGCAACATGATTCAGGCATGCATGAGGGTTCTCCTTCCCGAGACACCTGAAAATATTTGCATTCGATCCTTTTAAAATAGAAATTTCTTTTGGAAAAGTTTGAGTCACTCACAGGTTGGGAAACCCCTGTCCATGGTGGCTCCCATCGCACCCCTCCCAGGGCCTTATTTCCCAAATCCTGTCCCTTGGCCCTGTTCACCTCCCCTGAGAGGCCCGCCGCCCTCAGCTGCAGCCCTTACGTGGCCCGCATGTTGTTCTTTGGCTCCAGGGGGATCTCCAGGACTTTGGTGTTGCCCACGATCTTCTCATAGCTGGTGGTGGTGACAGTCTTGCCCGTGATCCGGTGCACCTGGTAGAAGGCGTGAGGCTTCAGGATGCGCTCGTCAGCTGTTCCGATGAAGATCTGCAGCCCCAAAGGCTTGTTTTCCATGTAACCGTGGAGCTGGGGAAGAATGCAAAATACACAGGGTATGATGGCTCTAGTCTGACAACCAAATGAGACTAAAGGAGCTGTTGGGCTGAGGAAGGTAGGATTCCTAGATTGTCTGTCTGGATGGATGAATGAAGACTCAGAAGCAAGCTTGATGTTCAGGGAGGGGGGACTACTTGGATAAATTACAGAGATCCCCTATAAAACAAATATTAAGCAGCCATGAGAACTAACATAGAAGATCAGAACTGTGTTTACAGGTAAATAGCCAGAATGTGTGGCTAACTGGTGACCAAAGGCATAAGGCAATGGGACAATGGGACAGCTAGCCAAGTAGGAGTGAGGGCAGCAAATGACCCAGGAAGATAAACACAGAGCCCTAACTATGGTTGCCTGGGGAGGTAAGGAGAAAGAGCTGTCACTTTTTCACATGATAATATGCCAGTTAACACAGTTTTATATTTCAAAAGGAAAAGAGATCAAGGGAAAATTATAGTAATCTAAGTTAAAAATAATTAAAAATGGAAAAATATATTTAACATATAATAGGCAAATGATTAATGGCATGCAGAATGCACAAAGAATGCCTACACATACATAAAAGACAGGATTCCTTGGCCATCCTAATTAAAACTGAGTCCCACTCTAATGAATTTTTCCTATCGCTTTCTCCTTTCAAAAATCCAACTGAGGGGCCAGGGAGATGGCTCAGTAGAATAAGCGCTTCCCTGGCAAGCGCAAGGGCCTGAGTTCAATCCCTGGTTCTGAAAAAAAAAAAAAAAAAAAAAAACGCCAAATGAAAGCACTATCCAGTTGCTTGACACTTTGATCCTTGGTCTCTTTCCCACAAATAAACTGTCACTTGGTTGAGGCCAAAGATATTTGTCTGCTTCACGTGCCACAAGAATTCTGAGCACCTAGAATGAGGCTTGGTACATAGTAGGCATCCTAGTGTACATGCACTGAATGAATTTTTTTTTTAATTTTTTTTTTTTTTCAAAACCGGGGGATTGAACTCAAGCCCTTGCGCTTGCCAGGGAAGCATTTATTCCACTGAGCCATCTCCCCATGAATGAATTTTAAAAAGCTACGCAACACAGAAGTGACAAGATGTTTGATCAGGCAGTTCACAGGGAAAAAAAGGCCAGTAGCACAGAGGAGGCTCAGTGTAACATAGAAGCAGAGAACTCCAAAATTAAACAACCAGAAGTCATCATATTCTGCCTATTAGATTAACGCATGCGTAATGCTTGACAATACCAACTGCTTTGGATATTGAGGAGGAAAAGGTACGCTACGGCTGACAGGAATAAACACAGGCATAACTACTGTAAAGTGTATGGGACTGACAGCTCTAATGGATAGATAGATAGATAGATAGATAGATAGATAGATAGATAGATAGATAGATATTTATTATACTGTGAACTGTGATCTGGTTATTACCCATCAGCGTGCACTTTGCAGATGCACCTGCCGATACGTACACGAGTTTATACAGGAGCATGCTACACAGACGGAATCATGAACACTCAGTGCTATACGCCCTCATTTATTTGTTTTCCATAAATTGATCCAGAAAGATCTAGCACATAATTTTGAGGAATAAAATGCATCGAAACCTACACATTAGGCGACAATGCAGAACGTTTTCCATCCATCCACACACACAAGTGTGGATTCAATAAGAAAGGTATAAAAGGACATGCTTCAAACTGGCGCCACCACAGCCACCTTGCAGGGTGATGGGAGAACTCAAGATTAAAAAGGTGGTCAGAGGGCTTTGACTTTACACACCGCATTAAAAGAAGAAAGTCCCCCCCCCCCAAAAAAAAGAAGGAAGTCCAGGAAAGTTCGGAACTTTAATAAGTTGAAATATATAGTATAGGCTATTATATATAACGTATATAGTATATGTCATATATACACACTACGCAAGAGCAAACATACGCAGTACATCCTGTATTATATACATATCATATATACATAGCACATAGAGTATATGCATCACAGCACATATAGTAAAGCCAAAAGAAGGTCAGGCCGAAAGTCTGATAAGATTCCTGTCACCCACCAGAAGAAGCGCTAGGTCAATCAATCATTTCTTCTTTGCCTGCAAGTTTGAGGGAGACTATGACAAGCTGGCCAAGATCCCTCCCTTCCCTCAAGTTCTACAAAACCTCAGCAGAACCTCCTGTCACCTGACACAGAGCAACAGGTTCCAGAGTGCTGGAGGACACATGGTCAGCAGCGGCGGCGGCGGCCAACGGAGGCGCCCTGAGCCGTCCATCCACACTCTACAGAATCTGACTGGAGGGTTCCGAATCTCACGAGCCACTGATGACTAGAGCCCCCACAGGGGGCAGCACACACACAGCACATGGGCCCATAGCAGGAGGTCCTCCTGGACACCAGCAGCCCAGAACGTACGTGTTCTCCTAACAATTACACAGAGACAGGCCGAGGGTGGAGCAGAGCGGGGTGACAGCCTTTCTCTTCATCTGCAGGGCTGACACCCACAACATTTACATAAGTGTCTGGTACCCACCCAAGAGGCAGCCGTGGGCAAAGATGAAAGCCCGAGTCACAAGCCTCTTATCTGAAGATCAGGTAAGTCCTGAGACAAAAGTCAAAAAGAAAAAGGGCAGCAATGAGAAGAAAGGTTGTTTCTGTTGGTTTTGCTTCGCATTAGAACTCAAGATAAATATATTTCTTCATCTCTCCTGGATTTACTGGCATTGCTGAAGAGAGGTTTAGAGTCAAGAAGACAGGTGGGCTGGACACACTGAAAGTGCTCAGCCTACACTGCTGCTTCCTCCGTGACAGGAGAGGAGCAAGGGTGTGTTGGGCAGACACGTGGGAGACAGCCAGGGAACACCTGGAGACAAGTCCATCATGTCCCCGTATCTCTGTGTGAGTCCAGCCACTTCTGTGCCCGCCCCTCTTGGCACATTAGCCCGTGCTGCCAACGCCCCTGCCTGGGTGAGCAGTGCCTACCTTTTGCAGGAGCAACACAATGATCTTTTAAGAATGCAGATTGTATCCTTCCATCCCCCGCTTACCACCTTCCAAAGACTAGTGATGGCCTTGGAACAAAATTTCAACTGGGAAGTGCCTTGGTCACCGAAGGTCCCCCCAGCCCAGCCTCTCCCTCCTCTAGGTACCCTGCTAGGCTGCTGCCAGCGCCAGCCTTTCTATTCACTGAATACCCCAAGTGCATCCTGACCTCAGGACCTTCGCACAAGCCACACTCTCTGCCCTGTAGTACTTGTCGCCTATGCATTTAGCTTTCAGATCTTCTGCCCTTTCCTGGGCCGCATGATTCGCATGTACCTCATGCCACAGCCAGCTCCTCCAGTCTCACAAGAACCAACTGTTCAATGTTTAAGAATTTGAAGAATCAGTTGCGGGCCGGGGATATAGCTCAGGGGCACAGCACTTACCTGGCAAGTGTGAGGTCATGAGTTCAATTCACGGTACCAAAAAAAAATCAGTTGATATCACTTTGACCACTTGGGTATATGCTACAAAGCAGGGATTTTTTTTTTTTTTCTGGAGAATTCAAAATGCAGCTTTCACACCACTAGAATTCTGACTTCCTTTCTAGTGCATCTGCCTTGTCTAGTTGTTGGACTAGTCTTTCTCCTGTGTATAAATTTCACAGTGACAGAGATCTTGGGCCTGCTATTCAGCCTGGCCGGTGACAATCCATGAGGAAGCCACCAAAGCTGATGCAGCCGCTCACGATGCCTGCCTTCCTTGTGCCAAGCACAGCACTCCATCTCTGTCTGTACCACACAACTCCATGTAGCACGGGTCACTTACTACCCATTTCACAGATGAGAAAGTAGAGGATGCCTGCATCCATCTTGCATGGTAAGAACACAGCCCCACCCTCTCCAGAAGGTGCAGGCTCTTCCCAGAGTCCTGACCTGCCTGGGCTCATCCCTGGAGATCTTTCCCCCTCTCTGATGGTTTTAGACGAGGAACACAAGGCCACTCATTGGCTTCTTCCAAAGTGTGATCTAGGTTTTGCAGACAGAAGTTGATACCCTGAGATGAAGCTGACACATGGTCTACTTGAGATCCGCAACCCCTCCTGTCCTATCTTGAGGCTTCTGGGTAGGCCTCCATGACTGGGTGACCTGGGCAAGCAAGGTCACCTCCAGACACCTGCTGTGATGCAGAGCTCAGGTGACCTCCAAGGCAAAAGAGGCTCTGCTTTCCTGCAGCCAGGGGGAAACTCAGGGCTTCCACTTTGCACATTTTCCCAGACCTGATAGATTCAGCAAGAAAGGGCAGTTCCAGCACACAACCCACAGAGCTCCATGTGTGAGCATGGGGGACCCTACAGCCGCCTGATGTGACACTTTGAAAAGCACCTTCCTGGGCCAGGGAGATAGCTCTGTAGAATAAGCACTTGCCTGGCAAGCACAAGGGCCTGAGTTCAAACCCCAGTTCCGCAAAAAAAAAAATTTTAAATAAGAAAAGCACCTTCCCTTTGCAGAGAACCCAGGGACTGAGCTGCAGGTTATGTAGGTTTACTCTGCCCTTTGCTGGCCCAGCTATTAGGAAATCAGATCTGAGGAAGAGCAAGTGGTCTGTGATTTACGTGCCCCACCATTCTCCTTGTAAACAACTCATAAATGTCACCATCTCGCCTCACCCAAGAAAACTTCTGCATCTGTCCAGGTGAAGGCTCTTCTGTATGTTCTGAATGCATCAAGGCACAGCTCTAAGCGCTCTAAGGACAGCAGCACTATCCTTGCTTGGGTGACAAAGGGGCTGGGTAACCCATCCACGACCCTGCAGCGCATAAGTGAGAGGGGTGAAAGCCTTCATGCCAGCCCTCTTCCTGAGACAGCCTGAGCTGGGATCCTGCTTTGTCAACCAGGCAGGTCCACCCCACCCTCTCAGCTGAAGGAGGTGAACCAAAGTGCCTTCCAAAGTACACATCATGAATAGAATGATTTGTTCTAATGGTGTCTGTAAGTAGGATCACAAGTCTGCAT